AGGGAGGGGTTTAAGTATACGATCCCCCACACTATTTCTGTCCCTCGATGGTGATCTTTTGGGCACATGCCGGCTGCCCTGTAGCGGGGTCACATGGGCTGCAGCGGTCTGCCCAGCCCACTCCTTGTGTCCGCCCTGGACTGCTGCCCACAGAGAACGGGGAGTGGGCCATCCGGCACCGGCCAGCCAAGATGCTGCTAGCTACCGAGGCCCCGGCCGAGGAGGCGGGCCACCAGAAGGTGGTCTTCTGCCTGCTCATCCAGCGCAAGCCCCTCTTCTACGTCATCAACATCATCGCGCCCTGCGTGCTCATTTCCTCTGTCGCCATCCTCATCTACTTCCTTCCTGCCAAGGGTACCTGAAGCCCGAGGGGAGGGAGCCATGGCCCTGGCCGGCAGCACAGGGGACAGCTGGGAGGGCACAGAGTGGCACCATGACCCAGAATCAGGAGCAGTGGGCTCCTTGTGGGGCGGGGGGAGGTACCCCACAGCAGGGAGACTGAGATCTGCTCTGTGGGCCTCTCCATCACGGGCAGCGGGTGGCCAGAAGTGTACCGTCGCCATCAACGTGCTCCTGGCCCAGACAGTCTTCCTCTTCCTTGTGGCCAAGAAGGTGCCCGAGACCTCCCAGGCAGTGCCACTCATCAGCAAGTAAGCCTGGTTCTCGCGCCTGCTGCCCTCCTCCTCCTCTCCCTTTGTGGACACTACCCCCCTGCCACCCCCACCCCTGCCATCCTCAAGGCCAGCCCCTTCCCACGAGGGACCTGGAGAGAGCAGCTGCTCGGGGTAGGGGTGGCATCTGGGAGTGCAGTGCCGAAGGGCCAGCCCTGCCTCCTGCCTACCCCGCCCTGGCAGGTACCTGACCTTCCTCCTGGTGGTGACCATCCTCATCGTCGTGAACGCTGTGGTCGTACTCAACGTGTCCTTGCGGTCGCCACACACACATTCCATGGCCCGCGGGGTCCGCAAGGCAAGGGCCCTCCCTGCCTGCCCCAGCACCTTCCCGCCAAGTGCACTCACATGGCCTCCTTCTGCACCCCGGCCCCTGCGCATCTTCCTCCCCAGCCACATTTGGCAGCAAATTCACCCTGTATCTTGAGGCACGTGCCCAAGTGGGTTAATAATAATATCAAGTGCCTATCAAGTGGCATGCATATTATGCATGCTAACTTATTTAATGATCATAAAGCCCCTTTGCAGTGAGTATTAGTATCATCTTCATTTTACAGATGAGAAAACTGAGGCCCAGAGAAGTTAAGTAGTTCGCCCAGGGTCACACAGCTAGGAAGTGGAAGAGGCAGGATTCTGACTGGGCAGTCTGACTCCCGAGCTTCTGTGATCTGCAGCCCACCTGCAGCCATCAGCTGGAGCCCTTGTCACAAATGCAGATTCCCAGGACCCTGCCACATCCTGGGCCAGAAGAGCAGGGGTGGGGCCCAGGAACCTATGTTTGGAATAAGTGCCCTGGTGATTCTGATGTGCACAAAAGTTTGGGGACCCGGCCTCAGAACAGCTGAGCTGTGTCAGGACCAAGCCCCCTTCCCCCATGTGCCGCCTCTGGGCCTCCGGCAACATGAGCCCCTCGTGCCGACCTCCACTTTCTGCTCCGAGGCCCAGCCCGGCCGCCCAGCTGAAACACCCAGAACATCCCCTCCGCAGGTGTTCCTGCGACTCCTGCCCCAGCTCCTGCGGATGCACATCCGCCCGCTGGCCCCCGTGGCTGTGCAGAAGGCCCGGCCTCAGCTCCAGAATGGGTCCTCCGCGGGGTGGCCACTCACAGGTGGGGAGGAGGTGGCCCGCCGCCTGCCTCGCAGCGAGCTTCTCTTCCGGCAGCGGCAGCGCCATGGGCTGGTGAGGGCAGCGCTGGAGAAACTAGGTGAGGCGGAGGGCGTGGCACTGGGGACACTTCTCCCCATGGACTCCAGATGTGGAGGGCTGCCTGTTAGCCAAAGCACCAGGCACCACAGATGAGTGCTGGGCAAGTGTCCGGGTTGGGGAGAGAGGGCCTGGGCTCTCTGAGGAGAGGCTACCTTCTCTGCCTGTTTCTCCTCCACTCCACTCCCAAACCTTACCCTCTCATCTCATCAGAGAAAGGCCCGGAACCAGGGCAGAGCCAGGAGCTGTGTGGCAGCCTGAAGCAGGCCGCCCCAGCCATCCAGGCCTGCGTGGAAGCCTGCAACTTCATTGCCCGTGCCCGACACCAGCAGAGTCACTTCGACAGTGTAAGCCAGTCTGGAAGTGGGAAGGGGGATGGAGTATTTGGTGAGGGGCTTGGAGCTGAATGGAGGCAGGATGAATGGGGCGGCCATGATAGGGCAACGGGATGGAAAGAGTTAGGAGTGGGGACATCGGGGCCAGGGGAGCGTGGAAGAAGCCAGGTTGAGGTCTGGAAGAAGGTGAGAAGGGCCCAAGGAAGCGGACAATGGAGGCTTGCTGGAAGGCCAAGGATGGTTCAGGGACCCAGGGCAGGCTTGGAACCACCGCTGGCCATCCCACACTCTGCCTCCCACCCTCAGGGGAATGAAGAGTGGTTCCTGGTGGGCCGCGTGCTGGACCGTGTCTGCTTCCTGGCCATGCTCTCACTCTTTGTCTGCGGCACTGCTGGCATCTTCCTCATGGCCCACTACAACCGGGTGCCCCCCCTGCCTTTCCCTGGAGATCCCCGCCCCTACCTGCCCTCACCTGACTGAGCCAACCAATTGCTGTGAGCCATGTGGTCTTGACAGCAGTTTTGTTCTACTGAGGTCATGAGCATGCTCTTTGAAAAGCATCCTTCAGGGCTATGGAAGCCAAACAGGCCGGAGAAAAGCTGGAGAAATAAAGAGACAGAGCTGGAGACCTGGCGTGGTCGGGGATAGGCTGCGGGCAGGGTGTGCCATGGGGGTCAGCACCCATGTGACAGTGGCTAGCTCATCCTGGCACTCACCTCACCTCAGCCAAGCATTATCAACTCCCATAATTTTTGAAGCCCTAACAACTCTGTTTTGCATGATGCCAATTAGGTAAGGTCCTATCCCTCTGGGCCTGGGCCTCCCTTTCTTTTATGAGTTCCCTGCAGGATCCTGAAGGAGGGAAGGCAAGAGATATGTGAAGAGCAGCAGCCAATGCTCTCAAACCGGCAGCGGCCGTCTCCAGCTGCCATCTCCCTCCTCTGCCTTTGAGTGCTGCAAGCTCCCAGGACTCACCTGCACCCGTGACTTTTCTGTTCATGTGCATTTTTTTTCCATCGCTCACAAAAGATTTCATGAGTTTTATTATCTTTTTTTTTTTTATTGTTAAGAGCTCCTCACAGCATCATGGAAAAAGCAAGAGTCGCAATATCCCCACGTTTCAGATGGGCAAATTAGGGCCTAGAATGAGGGCCTTCCCAGAACACTGGTGGCTAAATAAGGTTTGGAGTCCCGAATTCCCCACTCTGACCCAACTTTAGATACTCTAAGGAAGATTCCATGTCCTGGAAAACAGACCACTCTTCCTTCTCTTCTTAAAGGCCAGGGAATTTCACTGGCCCCACAGTATGGTTCAGAGAGAGGTAGGGACGCTGGGAGGTAAGGGAACCACTGGGTTCTGCCTTCAGGGAAGAGCCACTGACCAGTCTCCCTTGACGCTTCTTAGCAAATAAGATAACCAGCTGACATCTTCCTTGGGGAGAGGTGAGGTCCTGCTTTGAGAGTACAGGTGGGGCCTGACTTCTGTTAGTGACAAGAGGGTTAACTTGGGCAAATCATTTGTGCTCCTTGAGCTCTATTTTCTCATCTGTAACTGTGGGCACAGATATCAGTTCCTATCTACCCTCATTGCAGGATCAAAGGTGTGGGTGACTCAAAAATGTGAAAAAGCCATATAAAGATCTGACAAGGGGACATTGTTGAGGGGAGGGAAGAGGATCCTGATAACCCTCTCCCAGTACAGGTTTGCTGGCTTTAGGGCTCAGTCACCAGCAGGTTCATTTCATTTATTCCAGTGTGTGTGCCCCAGTGTGTTGGTGCAGAGACTTAGACCCAGGAGGCAATGTGATGATGGTGGGACCAGCTCTGGTTCCTGTAAACTTACTAGCCTTGGATGAGTCTCTCAACGTCTCTGCTTCGGAGGGAGGAGATTGGGTCTGTAGCTCCTGGCACAAGTAAGCAATGATTAACAATAGCTACCATTAATTGAGGGTTACTGTATCTAGCGCCTGATATTATCTCGTTCAATCCAACCCCGCAACCTGAAAGGCAGGTATTACAGTATACAACATCACCAGTACCATAGAGGCAAGTGCCCCGGGAGGTTGAGATCAGAGTCCAGGATCGTTCAGCCCGCTCTGGGGCTGGAGTCGGGATCTGTACCCAGCTGAGTCCAGAGCCCGCGCCGTCAGCCACGCGACGCTGCGTTTCTCCGAGCCTGGCACGGGAGCAGGGCAGGACGGGCTCCCGTGGGCGGGGACTGCGGCCGGGGAGTCCCGGGT